TGCCCGGTATACCCTACACTGATGTTTTTTAAGGTTAAGTGCCACTGCCCGGCATACATTTGCCCGGTATACCCTACACTGATGTTTTTTTAAGGTCAAGTGCCACTTCCCGGTTTATACACGGAATTCTTTTCACGATCTCCCCCCCCCCTCACGCTCCTCCAACACGTATAGAATTGCTGGAACAGCAACCGATAATTGTCAACAGTACTGAGGTACTTGAAAATTTGAAAACTTGACTTGAAAACTTTAAAAACTTGAAACTTGAAAATTTGACTTCCAATGTTGGCCCTAAAATAAGGCGATATTTTGCTAAACTAAAGCTCTCACCAGCAACGTTTTCCCGATATTGAGCTCATTTTCCCCTTTCTAAATTTTTTAAGTCCGTTTGTATTGTGGAATCGTCCTGTCCCTAGTCGCTTGTAGAATATTCTGTCGTTCTCTACGTCTACTCTAATAAATAACAAATCTGACTCCAACTTTTAGTAAAAAATAACATTTTATTCAGATAATAATCACCGATTCCACAATACTTGTACCATAAAATAATCTTTGTGAAACGGCTAATAAATTTAGATACTAATTTAAATAAGTTTATTTTAAATTTCAGCTCATTAAGGTAATAGAATAAAATTGCCAAAAGAAGCAAAATTACAAAAAGAAACAACTCTTTTAGTTTTAAACTCTTAACTTTGAAGACAATCAAAATCAGCATAAAAATTAGAATTAAAAAAAGATATTTCAGGTAAATACCTTCAGGAATACAAATATATTTTGCACGAAAACGATGCGTTTAAGACTTTTATAAATTTTATCCTGATGACAACCAAAAATATAGTGGCATTAATGTAAAAAAACTGTACCGGTTAATAAAAATGCATCGACAACTTATTAGACTGTTCCGTTTTTATTTTACAAAAAGACTTATAGCTCGTATTTGAAATAGTTCATTAAAGTAACAATAATTTCTGATTTAATAACGTTCTCATTTCTGATCGGCTGGTTGATACATTTGATAGATTATCATATTTAGTTAGACATACTCCGAAACTTTTAGCAGTGTCTTCATTGCTTATCTGAAATAAATGGACATTTATCTTGTAAATAAATTCCTCCTGAAGAAGGTAAGTCAAGCGCTAGCAAAAATTAAATAAATCTTTTTCCCTAAAATCACTTTTCAAGGAATATATTCAAATTTTTAAACTTCTTTTTAGAAATGTCAACGAATTCTTTAATAGAATACCGGGTGTAAAATTTTTTTACATTCCACCTTGCGTGATACTCTTTTTTCTTCGTCAATCTGTGTGTACTCAAGTTTTGCGTGGAATATTAATACATTTATGAATATTTATTAAATTCTGAATGATGGCTATTTGATGAACCCTGGTTATACATAAATCTTTATAATGGATTTCAATTACTTCATACATAATTCGTTTCTTCATTGATTTTTGCGATCTTCTTTCATTTTTATTAAAGAATAATAAAAATAATCTCATTTTAATTAATTTTAAAAGAAATTCTGCATCAATGACAAATTTTGTAACTAAGTCGAATCATGTTAAAATGTTTTTTGAAACAGTTTAGAAATGCCCTCCTGCACTTTCATTACTGTATTAAATTAATGAAACAATTTTGCATGTTTGGTTACTTACATATATTTATTTCTCATATGATGAATAATCTAAATAAGATTTTCGATCTGTTTTTTGTGGGAGTGTTCAAAAACGTTATATATCATGTGAGGTGGCGTAAATGTTGTGACAAGCTCTTCAAGGGAAATTCGGGCGTATCACCAGTTTTATTATAACGCAGGAACACGTGACCGTAAATGTCGTCGTGCGCAGTGAAAGGCGCTTCCCTATTATGACCATACTAGAAAATAGTTCATGATAGGGAAGTGCCTCTATCTGCGCATGATGGCATTTCTGGTCATGGGTTTCTAAGGCGATTTTATTCCTGATTATGTGCCCTAACTCGCTTAGAAGTTTGTCGCAATATTTATGCGAAACCATGTGTATAATGCGTTTAAACGTGTACATTTTATTTTTTATTATAACAGTCGTTGAACAGCCGACCTAATTTTATGGGTTTACGACTACTAATGCTCAACTCCGTAGCCTTGTAATTTTGAACCCAATCCAAAAGACAAGGGAACTCCCGGATCGAGTATTGGGAGAAATTTGACTTCGTGGAGGACTTTTTGATGGAGCTAACCCACATTTGCGTTACATGGAGAGGAAGATCAAAGAACCTCCCACGGTTAGCCTAACGGCATCGGGACTCTTACCTATGATCCGTCTACCAGTGAGGATATTTCATGTCAGCACTGTGGTCGATGCAAGCCGGATGTGGAATTCGTATCGACTGGGTTTCGAACCCGGATTGCCTCATTGGAAGGCAAACGCTCCATCCCTTGAGCCATCGCGGCTCAAACTTGTACATTTGGTCCCTGCAGGTGGCCAGACGACCCGCGAAGCGGGTTTGCGACTTTTCACGACTACTGCATAGCATCTCCCTTTACTTCCAGAGATCGTCAGGACCCAGGACCCTCGGACGCGGAAACCACACAGCCGTTACCCAGAAGACGCGTTTGCGGTCCTGCGAACCTTGTACACTTTGATAATACTGCTGCTTAGAAAGAAAGAGCGCAGATTTGAAATCAGCGACGTGAAAATATCCAAGATCCTTTAAAAAGTCGCAACTCATAATTTTAAACATAAACGTTGATATGGTACTCTATACTGTAGTACCAATTATTAGTGACGGCCTTTATCGAGCAATAGCATATATGATACTCAAGTTATAACTCGAGAGGTGTGTGAAGAAGTAGTACAGCACATAATGGAGCTTTGGAATGAGTTTTCTATGTCACGAAAGAAATGGAAATAATTTTAGTATGTCTGCTGCCAATTATGCTTAAATGTTCTGGTTGTTGATGGTTTATGTGATTTTTAATGGCTGCCGGAGAGATTTGATATTATTACTAAAATTTAATACATACTGAGAGCTTTGACAATATCACAGACATCTCTTGAAAATAGTTGAAATTGAAATCAAAGTGCTACACACGGAAATTTTTCCTAAATCTTTTAATTTGAATTAGCAGCTCTTTTAACACGTTGAGCGCAGCGGCAGCCATCGGTGGCTGACACTGGACTTTCCATTTAGGCCGCATCAGCCACCGGTGGCTGACACTGAAATTTCATTTAGGCTGCGTCAACCACCGGTGGCTGACACTAACCTTTCACATAGGCCGCGAAAAANCCGGTGGCTGACACTGACCTTTCACATAGGCCGCGGAAAACAGCTGGCTGACAGCGTATAACATGATATAGAACTATAAAATTTACACTCTTTTATGGAGATGCAGAAAATTTATTCAAAATTTACTTAATTATTGTGATTCTTGGTTTAATAAATTCAATTTACAAGGCTTTTATCCACCACTATTTCTAAACAATTCGTAATAATTCACCAATTTTTTTCAGATAAGTCATGCTAAACCTTTTAAAAACTAGCAAAATCTGTCTAATATTTGCAAATTTAGTTTGTAGTTATTTACCGTTGTGGCCTGGCGGGTAAGGCGCGTAAAATTAGCGTGGTGCTCAACGTGTTAACAACGTTAAAAATTATAACTTTTATAAATTGAAGTATCATTCAGCTCGGAAAAAAAATCATGCGAAAAATGTCGTCAATTTCAGGAGAGAAACCTACTAAAAAGAAAAGATATCTCAAGCGCTAACTTTTCAAAGTTACGAAATTAAGATAAAAATATATTGATCTAAAAAATTTTAAAAAATAAAAAATTTTCAATGGGTATGCTCGAAAAAGTAATCAATAAAATATTGCTTATAACTTAAAAAATTCGAATTTATACAATCTCGGTTAATTTTTTTGTTATCATATTCCTTTTATATAAAATTTATCTTAAAATGTGTGGCATGAATTTCTAATAAAAGTTTTAAAGAAAGTCAATGAAAAGTGGGT